TTTTAACAAATGGGTACGCCCCTGTAATATTAAAGAAGGTGACTTTGTACTAAAAGAGGTTAGAGGTCCTCCAACTGATCCACGAGGGAAATTCATACCCAATTGGATAGGATCATACCGCGTAATAGAAATTCAATTTGGAGGGGCAGTCAGATTAATGGATATTAGTGGCGATGAAATTCATCAACTAATAAACATTGATCGTCTCAAAAAATATTACATATAAATTCCGGATAATCTCGTTCACTCAAATATTCTACATCAAATTTCATAGCATTCACGTAAAAGATTCTAAGTGTTATAAATTTTACCGAACTCCACGGTAAAATTCATAACACTTGGGGGGTAGATAAAAAACTAAATAAATAAAGAAAAATCTCGCTTAAGTGTTCTAAATTTTACCGAACTACACGGTAAAATTCATAACACTTGGGGGGTAGACACAAAAAAAAATCTAAACGAGCCATTCAAGTGTTCGGATTTTTTCGAACTCCACAAAATAAATTCTCACACTTGGGGGGGTAAATAAGATATTAAAAAAATCAAAAATCTTTCACTCGTTTTAAACCTTGGTAAAAAAAACAAAAATGAAACACTCGCAGCACAAGTGTCGTGCGCAACTCACGAGGTTATTAGTTGCGCGTAGCTAGCACGCTCGACTTTCATTGTTGCGCGCGCCACCTGATGACGAACTGCAAACCTTACAATTTTACACTTGAAGAAAATCAATTACGATTTTTACTAGCGATAAAACAAAGGAGTATTCAATTCTCATACATGTATTCGGAAAACAAAAAAGTTAAACTTTAATTCAAATTATTTAACAAGATTTGATTAATTTTTCATTTACTCCTACAAATAGGATTAAAGAAAAAACACAAAACAAAAAAAAAATAATAAATTTTTGTTGCGCAAGAACTATGCGAGACCTGATTTCGTGATACGAATACGTAGGCAATCTTTGATTCGGTCAAATAAAACAACAAATCAAATAAAAGAGCTCTATTATTTCAAAACATAAGTGCATTCAAAATACATCATAGAACTTAGATAATAATAAAAAAAAATATTCTAGTATTAGTTACACTTTATTCAAAAAATACTACTAATAATATTGTGTAGCACCTTAAGGTTTTACTATATCCTCAATTGTAATAGTTGAAGGAGTAGTATCCATCGCAGTGTTCTCACCGGCCTTAGAAGTTTCGCCTTCCCCTTTCCTCTTAACCCACACATTGTTCTTTAGTTTGGGAATGTGAGCCCTTTCTACTCTTTTCCCCTTCTCTTTGGAGTTTGAAGGAGCCATTTTTCGAGGATTTGAGGACAGCTCTTTGATTTTTATTCCTTGTTGCCCAGGTTTAGGGGCAACCTTCCTCTTAGGTTCTCTTGGATGAGCCTTATGAGATGTGGAAAAGTCTAACTTTCTCCTCCTTTAGTTTGGCCGTTAGTAGGAGTAGTGGTGGCCGATTACACTAAAGGCTTAGGTGGATTGCGAGCCAAAGTGGCTTGATTTTGTTGACGAGTTCAACTCTCCCTTGTCGGCCGCATTCATCCAAGCCTTGTAAAAGGAAGATAAAACTATACTTGCGGTGAGATTTTGCACTAACCACTTAGGAAGACTAGTCCAATACTCAATCCAACGGGGAATTCTTTCGGCTTTAAAATTCACATGGTTGGGAGCATCACAATCTTGTGGAAGTTGTTTCATCCCATATTGTCTCATAATCTTCCAAGGAAATATGTAAGTAGAACGAAAGGCCCAAGAGGCGAATATAGGAACAATTATAACTGTTCCCAACCATACTACCTATGTTCCACCAAGGAATCACAAAGCGTATGTTAGGAACCTCATGACTAAAAAAATCAGCCTAAAGTAAGCAATAATATCTTTGTGAACTTATGCAATAATCAACCCTCTTGTCCTAAACACTCACCCTTTTAGTTATTACGGTGGAGGTTCACGAACAAGGAAGAGTCCATAAGTGTTCTAAACGAAGATCTAGCAAGGAAAAGTGGTAAATTCCCGAGCACTTAGATAAATCACATTACTTTTCTTGTCCTAAATAACTTTAATTAATTAATTAGTGTTGTTTGTTCTTGCATTAATTAAAGACTAGAATCGAATAATTGATTGATTGTTTTATGACCTAATCCAAGGTGAATCTTGTTTATTTATTGTTCTTTTCACGAATTTGGAATAAATAAGAATAACGACAATCGTTGCAATGTAATCTTTATGTGATTGACGCGTGCAAATAAAATCAACTAAATTAGTGTTAGGTATCACGTTGCATATATTGTTTGGTGATGAAATTGTAAAAACGGAAGAGCTAGTAGAGGTCGCACTTGGGTTAGGATAGCTATTCCCCCCTTAAAAGGAACGTTATTTTAGTACCCTCGCTCCTGAACTCATTTTTGGTACAAGTAGACCAATTTGGGCATGGGTAAACTTATGATTCATGCTAAATATCCCTTGAACTCTATTTGGGAGAAAGGCATGAACGAGGTTTATGAGTTTTCCTAAAACTCGCAGCTCATTGGCGACTCCTTATTAGTTTCTTACAAAAAAGCGTAATGATAGAATCAATTCTAATTCAAGGTCCCTCAAACAGTCAGGAATTCAAATCCTAACACACCCTAATAAAGTGTAAAGTCCTAGACTTTAAAGGGTCATGGGCATAGAGTAAAAGAATCCCCAATGACGGGCACACCCTCCTCACAGTGGTGACTCCACTGGGGAGTTAGAGGTCACAAGCTTAGCTTTTAGTTATGGTTCAAGGTTTCCAACTTAGGTTACCTATGAGTTGTAACGAGGGCTAACTTGGATAATCTCTAGTTAGATAATGAGACTTAAACGCAGAATATCTTCCTTCTTCACAAAAGTAAAACCAAACAAGCAATATTGCATCATGCATAAACATAAACACCTTCTAACCATTGGGGATTGGCTCATTGACTAGGGGTCGCCAACACCAGGCTTCTATCCCAAAATCAATAACAATCATCCCACCCATATCGCCAACAAAATGTTGGGAGATTTATGTCATGGGTTAACATATTGAGTGATTGATTCATACATCGTTTCTTAAGATATGGTACCTTTGGATACCCAAGCCTTGACCTTAGGATGGCATTGTATGCTCTAACGGTTTTTCTAGTATGCTTATGTGATTGCATAATTATTTGTGACGTGTATAGGATAGCTTTTCTTCTTTTTAGTCTTAACCACTACTATAAAAAGTAGAATAAGAAACGCAAGATAATATAGAACGGTCAAGTTAGATAAGCGTTTTGTAAAACTAATTAGAACACTTTTCATTTAGGCGTTTTGTAAATTCAAGAATATAGAACGGTTCTTACCCAACCGCTCTCTATTATTTTAATCTATATAAAAAAAAAATTAATAAATTTAGAGAAGATAAAACGATTTCATGCACAACCGTTCTTTATTCTTCTGTTACAAAAATCTGACTCCACTACCCATCCTTTAAATTGGTAGCCGCCATCTATAACTCACTCTTCGCTAAATCACAAACCCAAGTTTTTTAGCGTCAACGGTATAATTTTTTTTCTTCTGAATTTTTTCCATTGTTTATAAGGTAAAATCATCATCCTTTAATTCCTTTGAGATTTGATTTTTATTTATTTTAATTTATAGATTTTGCAGTTGTACCGGATAGTATTGGTTGAACAATCGATGCAAGATTTTCGTCTCCTCAAATACATATTATAATCGGTGAGCAAACTAGCCGAATTAAAGGATGTTGATTCGATTGTTTGACAATTGTATTGATGTGATACTTTAAGATTTAAACTGAATAATTTTTGTATCAGTTACTTAGTTTTATTATAGGTAAAGGGGTTGTTAAATATCGCCCTCGAATCTCCAACTAACGTCTGCAAATAAAATATTTTTTTCAAATTTACCCTTACATAAAACAAAAGAATTTACCCCCCCTCCAAACACAATTTACCTCCCAAAACCCTCACTCCCTCTTCTCTCTCTTAAAAACAATTCTCTCTCTACACCAATACCACCACCACGTCCTTTTACCACCCACCACTACCACCACCTCTTCTTTTAACAACCCACCACCACCTCCTTTTACCTCCGGTTTCTCAATCTACACAGTAGGCCGCGAAAATGACGAGGAAGGACAAGGGGAAGGTCGTCGTCGAAGGAGTCGCTGGAGACAAGGACAGTTAATTTTTTTTTATTTTTTTCTGAAATTGGAGGAAACGCCTAATTTTTTCGCTAGATCTGGGCTGAAACGCCTAGATTTTTCGATCACCCATACGGTTATTCGAAAAATCTAGGTGTTTCAGCCTAGATCTAACGAAAAAATTGGGCATTTCTGCCCTTTTTTTAAAAAACAAAAAAATTCGTATGAAGTTCATCTTATCCTACGGTTATTCGATTTCATCTTAGGCTGATTTGTTTTTTCCCCCTTCAATTTCATCTAGTTGAAGGAAGAACTGCTAGCCGATTTTTTTTTTTTTTTTCATTTGAGGTTTTTGCTGTATTAATTTAGGAGATATTTCTTGTGTTGTTGTCAGCAGTTAAAAACCAAAGCTCTTGCTTAGATTCCTTTTAGTAAAGCTGTAAAGAAAATGAAAGAAAGATGAATTCACGAAAAGAGTGCCAATAAAATACTGTTCCTACATATATTTATACAAGTGTTGAAAATGGTTTCAAAAAAAGTTAAAAATTTGAGTTTCTTGATTAAGTAAAAGTCATACCGGAGGACGACAAACATCAAAGATGGTTAATTTTTGTACGTAGTAGTATTCTAATTATGAGTATATTGTTTATAAAATGTTTATTTCATTGATCCCCTGCTTACGGCATGTTTTTAGAATCTTTTAGTTTTAAGTTTGCACTTTTGGCTACTCTAAATGTTTATTATTGTTGTTGTTGCTTTTTATTATTGTTGTTGTTGCTTATTATTATTATTGTTGTTGTTTATTATTATTATTATTATTATTGTATAATACTCGTAATGATTTTATTAAAATAATGCATAGAACACATTATAGGTTTTCTTTTGTTTGCATCACCTATTTTGTTTTTATTATTAATATTATAATTTATTTTAAATTTAGAATGTAGTTGAGGGTTCTGGTCCACGGCATGCTAGATCACACAGTATTAACGCGTCAATTAGGAGAAATAGGGGGATTAGTATATGGGAAGGTAATTCAGTACCGAAGCGCGACAGGGTAGTGGATGATTATGGGACTCCGGGTTTGGGTTCGAGGTACGAGGATGATGGACCTGAAGATGATGAAGATGAGGGTGAGGCTGATGCTGAGGAGCAGCCGCCTGTTGTGACAAGAGGTCCTGATGGGAGATTTACGAGTTCCCGACCACCTCGATCGGCAGCGTCTTGGCTTGTTTAGGGGCCGATGGACGGTGGGCCCGAGGATGGGTGCGTTATTCCTAATTTCGGGGCCCATGTTGCGGGGAAGATCGACGATTTTTGTGGTGTCATACTAGAGCTGGTGTGTGTAGAGACTTGACTGACTGGCTAGAGAGATTTACGGCTGCCACTACTACACGGATACGGCAGACTGGGTTGTCGCACCTACCTAGCATTATGCACGACCACCTTGATTTCCACTGATTTATGCTTTTGTTGAGAGATGGTAGCCAGACACGAACACATTCCACCTACTTTTTGGTGAGATGACCATCATGTTGCACAACGTACACCACATACTTGGTATTCGGGTTGATGGGGATATGGTTGCCGGTGATCTCCCTAGTGACCAGTATAGGACATTAGTAGCTGGGTTGTTACATTTGACTCCAGAGGAGTTACAGGTCAAGACTCAGAACGCCATCTACAAGAACGGTGGCGTCCATACTGACCAGAGGGTCAGTTCTTCAGCTCAGATGACCACTCTCATGTGGGATAGATTTGTCCCCGGTGATGCGTTCGGTCTTCTGCTTGGTGGATGTACTAGAGTTCCACGTGGCGGACATACTTGTGCCCCTGACTACCTACCATGGTTTGGGAGAGTTAGCCATCCTATCGTCACTCCTAATGTTGAGGATGATGTCGGTCTTCCTGAGAGGACCAACGTTGATTACGTAAGTTTTTTTTTTAGTTTTTTTTTAATTTAATTTTTTATTTTCCTATTATTACTATTAATACACAATTATAATGGTTTGTGCAGTGGGTAGGGTGGTTCATGGTTACAGCGCAGCGATCACTTAGTGAGTACCTTACGCTATCAATGGACACCAGAGCAATGTTGGAGCAGGTGATTGCTGATTGGAATGCAATAAATGGACTTAAAGATTAGTTGTAATTTGTATTTTAGCTTTGACTTTGTTGTTTTATTAGACTATGTTTTGGATGTTGTTAGTGGACATTTATATTTTATCACTTTTGTTGGGAATTTTCAAGTTGACATTTATATATTAGTATTTTATTTTCTAAGTACGTAGTACTTAGTAAATTTTAAAAAGAATTGCTTAAAAAAAATTTAAAAAATAATCATGTTTATTAATAAAGTTATATAAAGTTTAATAAAAAATCCATAACAGTACTCAACGATACTCAAGAGCTAACTAATTGTCTGCCACAATTGAAGCCTTCTCTCGTACCTTGCCTCCCAACCGTGTACACTTGCCTGACGAGTGTTAAACCACAATGGTGAAATTGGAGGAAGTGAGTGGTCAGGATCCATATGCAAACGAATGAAATGCGATCCACCAACAATTCCAATCACGAACTCTGCACTAGGCTAATAAAACAACAAAGTCAAAGCTACCATAGCGTCCACGATTGTTCAACGTTAAAACAGTGGTAGATGGATAGTAGCTCGATGGTCTATTTCCTACTCCATAACAAATCACTACCACATTTCATATTGTGGCAATAGCAAAAATCCTGTTGTGCTACCATCCAATGCTCATGTCCACACGCATCACCATCCCATCTGATCTGGTCTACCTCCCTTTGCAGTCTTGAACCAATCTGTTGACCCCATATGTCGTAGTAAATCATGTTGTACAGCTAAGGTTGAGAACCAACCTCGTTTGCGATATGATGACAAGGGTCCTCCAATATGGATGAATGTCCTTCATATACAACCCCTTCCCTGCAGTAATCGAGCCATATATTTGGCACGCACAAGGTAACCCGTGGATAGTACGTAGAGCACACCCACAACGTCGATGGACATCCGTACTCAACCCTCACATCCTGTTCGTCTCACCAAGAAGAATAGACAGACAATAGTAGGATACCTTTCCGTTCAGCTGATGCAAAGGCTTCTGCTTGTACTTCTGACCATGAGTTTCTCTACATGCCTCCAACCCATTACGAATGGCTATGATCTGGTTCTCAATTGAGCAGTGCACCTGAGCCCAAACTGTGTCTAAAGAACTTGTAGGACTGTCAATCCAACATTTCAATGCCGAATGCTGGCTCTCAACCCTGCAGTTGTTAACATTGCCGAAGTGCAGTACCTGATTCGTCCAAAACATCACAAACTTCTCCTTGTGTATGAGCCAAGTGTCCACAACATAGTCAATCACTTTCGGCCATCGACCCCACTTGGTTTTCAGCTCTACAAGCTCTCTTTCATATGCCTCTTCAGATGTAGCATTAATCACATGCTTTCACCTCCCATTTTTTAACTTGGCACCAATCTCCTTCTTTTTTTCAAACATGGAAGTAACCTTTGCCTAAACATCTTTGTTAATATGCCACACACACAACATGTGTCTTGTGTTTGGAAACACGCTCTTCAACGCTGCACAAAGGCCAAGCTCCCTATCTGTCAGTAGTACCGACGACTCTCTATGATGACCGATCAACAACCTCAAGCACTAAAGCACCCACCGATAACTTTCTTCGGACGCCGACCTCATGAATGCGTATGCAACAAGAAAGTTCTGATTTGTCGGTGTAACCCCAACAATCTCAAAGAATGGCATGCCGTATCGGTTCGTCTTGTAAATGGAATCCATACCTATCACGTACGGTATGTGCGTAGCAAATTTTTCATGATCGGGTGTGCCATGAAAGCATGTTGCAACACATTGTTGGTATCAGTCATAATCCAAGTAAGGTATTTGCTCTGTCTGGCCAAATGAAGCACCTGGTGAACCACCTCTCTTCCCTCGAATCGCTCCATTTTGATATTACTTCTGCAGTTGTAGACAGGCCTGATGTTTGGATGGTCTCTGGGAAACTTTTTTACAAGAGTTCTTATGATATGCCGAGGTGGCAGCTGTGCCTGAGTCATGTCACGTACTACCTGCTTAGCAGCAAGACTAAGACCGCTGATTTGTCGATGTCCCTCGGGATACACAACCAAAGAATGATTGTGAGTGTCGTTCAAGCAACTGAGCTTCCAACCACTTACTACTCTGACATACTCAACCTTGAGTTTGAAGGGACAACTGTTTGCCTTGGTTTTCGTGTCTTTGCGTATCGTGTTCATCATGTCTCTTATCATGCTCTTTTTTCCACGATCATAACTCACATATCGATACGGCCAACCACTCCGATCGGTCTTGTAAGAAGCCTTCACTAACATAAATCCGAGCGGGCGACAAACATTTGGTGCCCACAGAACAACATCCTCAAAACTCGGAAACACAGTGTCTGTCAAAAAATGTCCGCTATAGTCCACACCATCACCATCATCGGACTCAGAATCCTATATAATAATAATAACAATAAAAACAAATATTAATAAAAGTTGAGAAACAACAAAAACACAACTAATAATAATAATCTAACAACGTACAACTAATAATAATAACAACTAATAATAATAACAACTAATAATAATAATAATATAATAATAATAATAATTCTAACAATACACAACTAATTATAATAACAACTAAAAGGTGTGATCCCTCACTTATAAACGATTGAGAAATTTATAACTAGAGAAATTAATTAAGTAGAGTAATTCAAAACGACCCTCCTAAACAAATTCGTAGTATATAACTATAATTTTTTGAACAACATACTTATGAATAATACAAACAATAACATATTAAGATTGATAGAACAATACGACCCTCCTAAACAAATTCGATGCCTTATGAACAATTCATCCAAATACAAACAACATACTTTACAAATGATCTTGATCATCTTTCAAAGTAAAACAATCGGAATTGATAGAAAATATCAGTCGTCATTTCAAAATTGATAGAAATTCCGATTATTTAACGCCCAGAAATTTCGAAAAACCTAGACTGAAACGCCTAGTTTTTTCGAAATACCTTTTTTAATCGGAATTTCGAAAACAGAAAATTAAATAATCGAAATTTCGGAAAAAAAAAAAATAATCGTACCGATTTCGTACGGTCCGACGAGTCTCTGGCGACCAACGTAGGTGGTGTTTCCGGCCTTTCGTTGTCTTCCATGGGATCCAACAAATTAGGTTTTGCAAAATTTAAATTATTTGTTTGATTTTGAAAATTACAGTGGTTGGTGGTTCAACGCGATTGTTGGTGGCCGATGTGAGCACTAGAGAGAACGGTAAAAAATTTTATGTAGGGTAAAAGTGTTTATGTAAAAATAATTATTTTATAATATTTTTATAACAAGACTACGTATGTCATTTTAGGTTATTTTGCGGGTGTTAATTAGAGATTCGAGGGCGACGTTTAGCGGTCCCAAAAAAAAAAGAAAAAAAAAAAAAAGTGAATTAAACAAACCCTTACAAGATATATCGATCATAATTTCCCTTGTTTATTTTTTATTCAACCTCAAACGTAGAAGCTTTGACCCTTCCATCATTTTGCTGTCTCTTCTTCATCTGTAGTTTCTACCTCGCTTCTAGACTGCCTGAGTCTGGAAAGAGGTGGCTGGCTACCCATTCAACCTAACGACTTTTCAATTCTTTTCAAAGTCATTATTTCGCAGAGATTATTTGTAATATAATTTAGATATCCCAGACTCAAGAATTTCTCCCTTCTTAACGTAAACCCTCAATCCATCTTTTCCCATCTCTTTGATTTTCTTCAATTTTTTCTAAATTTTCTGGGGTTCTTTTAATTTTGACCAAAACTATTGATATTTCTGGTTGAAGGGTTCGAATTTAATTTTGTGGGTACTTAATAATTGAAGTCTTCTGCTATGAGTTCGAACCCTACATCGAGTTCTGGTGCTGGATCAACAGATCCTTCAGCAGCTAGAAGAAATTCAAAGCGACCCAAGTGTAATTTCATGTTCCTTAAGCTTCAATTTATTTTTATTTCTTTGGTTTCTTTTTAGATTATGATTTGGATGTCGATTTCGAGCTCTGGGTATTGATTATGTCTAAAATGTCATTGTGTTGATTTAATTTGATTTTTATATTAGTATTTTGTCAAATAGCTGTTGATAGGATCTGTTCTGGGTTGTTGTGATTGTATTTTGGTGCATTGGGTTGTTTTAGTTGTTGATACATGTTAAGATTCTTGCTTGTTGGGGTGGTTTTGTTAAAATTATCATTGATTAGTTGATTCTTGTTCATAGTATATTAGCAATTATCGTTACTAGTGAATGCAAATAGTTAATTTGATGCATGATCCTTGGTATCTTGGACTTGTGTAGTCTGTGGGGTGTTGGTGCCATCTAGTTTATGTTATGTTTTCGGTTTCTTTTGTGTTTTATTATAACTGAAAGTTTATATGAATTTGAAGATTTAGGCTGTTTTTAGTGCGGACGAGGATCTTATTCTCCATGTTTATCTTCTTTGCTTGATTGGTAGTGTAAAAAAGTTTGGAATTTGCTCTTTTTTTTATTTTTTTTTTATTTTTTATTGTGAAGTATAATTTTCCATATGAGAGTAGCAATTTGTGCATACCTGCAATTACAAATGAATGTAGTGGGAACTCTTTTGTGCATACGTTTTGTCTAGTCAGAATACCTGATCTGTGTCAGTGTACCTTACTACCAACTCTGCTCTGTTCTGGCTCTGGTCGATCTTCCAAATTTATATAGCTTTTAAAGTAGGTAAGGTGGATGGAAAATTAGGCTTCGTTCTAGGTCATAAAAAATGGGTTTGACTTATAATTAGTTCAAATTTAATGGTTATCTTAATAGCCAAATTTTATATTTTGATTTCAACTGTACACTATGTGGAGAATCATCCCTTAGTGTGGTTGACGAGCCTAGTGTTGTAGGATTGTAGTGTCAGAGTACTGTCGTATACCCACCTATATGGTTGAGACTTTATCCTTCACTTCCTATTGTATGTCCTACTTTATTAGCTATAAATTTCTAAAATCGCCCACCCTTTGTTTTAGTTGGTATTTTGGGTTTAATACTGAATACAGCTCTCTTTTTATCTGTCCTCTACACATGTCCAGTGTAGACAAAGTACAAGCAAAGGATGTAGGTAAGCTAGATTTCTTTTTCCTCACAAATTCTATGGGGCCTATGACTTTGCAAACTGATGTTGGTACATGTACAGCTGCATAATTAGAACACCAATAAACCATTTGTTTCTAAATTTCTATCAGCATAAACCCACAACTTAGCTTGAGAATTGCAAATTTTCATCCTTGTCTTAGATATCTGTTGGTGCCTGCAAGCTGCAAAAAAAACTGCTTCTCTGTTGATCATTATCCTATCTTAGTCACCTGGATCTTGTGACATGCATGATTCTAAAATGTATTTTCCAATACATCTTTTAAATTTTCACCCCCATCTGGTGTTCATATATGGCATATATAGCTCATGACTCTCTATCTTCTCTCCCTCTCTATTTCTCTCTTTTATTTTTATTTTTTTAATTTTTAATGGTTGTTTGAAATAGTGAAATACTTCGCTTAAAGTTGAAGTGCTACCTACATTGTGTGCTCTGTTACATTGAGTATCTCAACTGGCTACTCAGATAAAATGAAGAGTTGGGGTAAAGCCAATGAATTAAGATGATTGCTTATGGCTAATTTATTGAGTAGAATTTTATATGGTCAATTTTTTGATTTATCGCCTGATAACTACTTGAGATTATTGTCATACATGGAATGAACACGTGATTGGCTAAATTAAAGCAAGAGCCTATTAAACATATTGTTGACTTTATCTTTGAATACTGAGGCCAGAATCACCCTAATGTTGACATTCCATAAATTCATGCATTTTGACATACTCAAATTCATTGAAGCAGATCAATCAATCAAAGCTTTAATCCCATAAGTGGGGTCGGCTAACATGAACTAAAAGTGATTATTGCGTATAGTCATCCACAAAAATCTTCCTCCTCTATCCCTTATGATCAACTGCCTCATTGAAGCAGATGTTGAATAAAAAAGCAGATTTAAGAATTGACTAGAATTGAGATTTGAGGTAGCAGGGTTGGGAGCAACATAAGCTTCATTCGGATAATTTCACAGATTTGATAGTTATGCTAAAATGGATGTTGAAGTTCAAGAGGACAGTTCAACTAGCAAATAAAGCTTGTATGGGCTCCTTACTTTTGAAGTGTGTAACAAGGACATTTTTTTTTTTTTTTTTTTGGGTGAAAGACTATGTGCAAGCATTTGTATAGAGAAAGAGATAAAATAAAAGTGAGTGGGTTGAAAGGTGTAAATATTATGGCGTAAATGGAGTTAGATGGTAAGATGTGTTTGCTGAAAATCAAATAAAGTAGAAGGGTACATTTAAAAACACCTCAAAATGAAAAGTGGTACATCGAACAAAATTATAGGGAGTGTGTCTAATTACAGATGTGTGTCATAAACCCCTCTACAAATTCGTGACCATGTTTGTCGTATCTTTCCATGTGCATGATAGATTGTTATGATTGTTAGGAGCACATGATGCAGCATTAGACATGACTTGTGTGAAAATCTGTTAGTCTGAAGAATGAGAGAGCAGGGATACTTCTATGAAAGCTATTTATACAAAACATTTATGTTGTTGGTCTTCTTTTATTGATTTTGTTAGCTATTCATAACAATGTCTTTTCAGTATTTGTAAATAACTGTTCCAAGGATAATATCTCATGTTTAATTTTTTGTTTTTTTAAAGATTCAAGGTTCACCCAACAGGAGCTTCCAGCTTGCAAACCTATCTTAACTCCTCGTTGGGTATGAAAGAACTAATGCTGCTCCCTTGTACTTTGTATTAAACTGTATTATCACCAACGGTTTTCAATTATTTTAAGTTATCTCATGCTTTTTAATTTTCTGTGCAGGTGATTTCCGCATTCATGGTTGTCAGCATTGTGTTTATTCCAATTGGAGTTGCTTCACTATTTGCATCTCGTGATGTATGTTTTAACTTCAACTCTATCTCCCCTCCCCCCTATGCACATACTCCTCATACTATGCGCAATCACATATATAATACTTGCTCTGTTCTTTTTTACCTGACGTGTTTCTTTTAACACGCTTGCCAATGTAAAACTTTAACGATCAATAACTTTAATTCTCCATAAGTAAAAATTATAAAAGTTATATATTATGATAATACTTATTGAAACAAATACAAAAAGATCCCACATGAATATATTTTTCCTTATATATTATTCACAAAAGACGGTCAAAGGAGGGGTGGTAAATAGTGTAAAAGTCAAAGCGGGTCAAGTAAAAAAGAACGGAGGAAGTATAAAACAACTCTATAGTATTCTGTTCGAAAATGGTTGCAAATGTCCAATCTCCAATGAAAGCATTTAATCATAAAGAACAAACGAAAATATATACTCCCTCAACGTGGTCAGCCATGTGTTCACATTCTTATCCCCACCTAACCTGCCAATATCCCTCACCAAAAATTTAGCCCAAAACCAATTCCACCCTTCCCATAGCTCACTTCCAACTTACATTCTCCTCTCCATCCCTTAAAATCTCTTATTTAATGAATACTAGCAATGATTCTATGTCATTAGCCAATTTGGTCTTCCTAACCTCCTCACCTTTTCCCTTCAAATAACCCACCTTGATCCTCTACCACTATTCGGGCTTACAAATGCTTAGTGTCCAACCATTGACTCCTCTTATGTAATCCTCTATTCCTCATTTCCTCTCCTTATCCTTTGGCCTCATAATGGGTATAATCTCATTCCAATAAAACTAAAAATTTCTCCCTGCATTTTTCTGTTCTAGTTAAACATCCATAATTAATTGACAACCCTAATTAATATGGGGAAGGGGGGGGGGGAAGGGGGGGTCTGTTTCTTTTTGGGGATGTGGTGGAATGTCCGCCAGCAAGAAGGGGGATAAACGAAGGAAAGAAGAGAGAACCCACTATGTTGGTGTTTTTGTTTATGTATTATGTTTAGTACTAAAGAACCTCTCTCTCTCTTTCTCTGGAGCACGGGGGTGACTGAGTTTACACTTCACTTCTTCCCATTAAAGCCTCAAAGGGACCTTCTCTCTTTTTATTTTTTCTTTATATTTTGGGGGAGGTGATGTTTGATAGCTTCTGCCCATTAAGAGAGTAGAAGTGTACTGCAGCACTACAGAGCTCTGGTTGGTTATGTATGTTATTTCGTTCTACTTATAGATATTATAAATTCGAAGTGAATGTGGTAAAAGTTAATAAAAAGCCACTTATGAGATTAGATATTTATAAGTTTAGATATTGGTGATCTAAATTGATTATTTGATAGCTCTCTCTAACAGTTTTAGTTGAACAATGAGATGGACCTGAACCTTATGGCTTTATGTGCACATGATTATGACATTTCTATGTATATGCATATAGGTCATATACCTACAATTTATTTCTGTAAGTAGTATAATTTTTCTGCCTAATTATTACGTGTTCGTTAATTATTGATATTCTTTTGGCCACAAGGTTGTTGAAATTGTAGACCGTTATGATGATGACTGTATACCTGGGTCTAAAAGTGCAAAGATCAGCTACATCACAGGACCAAGTGATAAAACCTGCATTAGGACACTAAATGTAAGTGTTTCCTACACCTTTCTTATGTGCTTTGATTAATACATACAGCTGTTTCAGCACAAATACCTTGTCAATATATGCCAGCTGGTTTTGCTGCTATTGTTTTTTTTTCATCTAATTTGGTGTTATCTGTCTCCCATTTATTTTTATCCATGTAGGTTTCGAAGCATATGAAAGCACCTATTTATATTTACTACCAGCTTGATAACTTTTATCAGAACCATCGCAGGTACACTCCTTTATTCTTTCTTACAAAATCAACATTAGTGTCTGGAGTTAATTCTCCACTTATTGTTATACCGTTTCAGTTAAATGACCTGGTGATTTCTCTATGAGTGTATGAATCAATCTGGATGTGTAGGGAAGGGATTCCGTAGCAAATTTTTGTTGGGTTTTAGTTCTGCCATAATGCACTCATTTATTTTATTTTTCCTCAGAAGCAGCTATCATTTTTGAAATGAAAATGCTTCAAAATTCTCTTAGTGATTGTCACATAATATAGTACTTATGCTTTTTTTAATATAGACAGGGGATGGTGGGATGGGTTACTTCCGGTATAGGAGAGGAAGAATTTCTGAGATATGCTGTTTTTGGAGATTATGCTATGGTTTCCTTGAACAGATTAGGCTAGCAGGATTTATAATTACATTGAACAGGATCTAAGTGCTCTTGGTAAAATGGGCACTGGATTCTACTGTTATGCTCTGATGTTCTAAGTTTGTTGTCTTGAACTTTCTTTTTGTATACAAGAAACCATGCACTCCCAAGTTTATTACGTTCTTCATACTCAATAACTCAAAGATAAATGTTATAACAAAATTATTATTTAACAATCTGGTGTAATGCAGGTATGTGAAAAGTCGAAGTGATCAGCAATTGAGGCATAACAGAAGTGCTAATGAAGTAAGCGCTTGCAAACCAGAGGATACTGCAAACGGGAAGCCAATTGTGCCTTGTGGTCTAATAGCTTGGAGTTTGTTCAATGATACTTATAGTTTTTCTATAAGCAACAGGAACTTAACTGTCAACAAGAATGGAATTGCATGGAAGAGTGATAGAGATCACAAATTTGGGAAGGATGTCTTCCCAAGTAATTTTCAGAAGGGAGGACTTATTGGGGGTGCTAGTTTAAATGAATCTATTCCAGTAAGTAGCTTCTTCTGTACAAATGTCTTACCTTTTCATATAGAACAAGTGTTTATAATTCTATTGTTTGCTGTACAGTTCTCACTTTTCACTGGCAAGAATTATGACTCATATTTGTCTATTACAGCTTAGTGATCAAGAGGATCTCATAGTATGGATGCGAACTGCTGCTCTTCCTACTTTCCGGAAATTATATGGCAAAATACATCAGGACCTGCAAGCTGGAGATGTCATAAATGTCACTCTCAAGAACAACTACAATACCTACAGCTTCAATGGGAAGAAGATGCTGGTACTCTCCACAACTAGTTGGCTCGGCGGGAAAAATGACTTCCTTGGCATTGCCTATCTTACTGTTGGTGGCTTGTGTTTCTTTTTGGCAATGTTATTCACTCTCATTTATCTTGTGAAGCCAAGGTAAGCTTCTGCAATTGCTAATTTGCACATTTCATTTTGCTCTGCATTAAATTACTTCGTAATCTCTAAGATTTGAGGTTCCAACCATTAAGGCATCAATCTTATCAATATTTGTTTTTCCTTTCAAATTCTCTTATACTCCTTTTGTCACGCGTCTGTTGTCTCAACAGTTTTTAGATATCATTGTTCTCATCCTGATATTATTTTTACAGGCGACTTGGGGATCCTTCTTACTTGTCATGGAACAGAAATCCAGGAGGAAGATAATCAGTTGTTGGGCTTGTGTTTGTATCTGGAAGAGATTTTGTAAATTGAAAATACTTGATTAGTAGTGTAATTGAATGTTAATGGAAAATGTACACTCTAGAAAAAAATGTTTGGTTCTCGGGATTTGGATGCTATGAGGGAAATGTGTTATGTATAATTATATGAATACAAGTTTTTACATCATTCCTTGACGAATTTGTTGCCTACAAGCTACAACACACTTCTTATAGAACTCTGAGCATGATGTTGGAAAGGTATGCTCCTTCTGGGTAGGATGGGTCAATAGGGTGATCACATGCTGCTCCAGCTTGCCGAAGTACAGTCACCTTTTTTCCCGCCATTGCTGCTGCACCCTGTAGAATAACATGCAACTTAGAAACAATCAAAATCACTTTGCATATTGAAATGAATAATACTCCGGTTTGTGTTGATAGTTCAATTGTGAGAGAAAATGTGTTTTTACATACTACCTCTGTTTTTTTTAGTTGACACCTTTCTATTATCATGCTTGCTAACAAACTATTTTAATGATTAATATCTTTAAGTATTGATATTGTAAAATTTAAAAAATTAGATTTTAATAAAATATACAATGAGACGATTCAAACAAGATGTCACATGATTATATTTAATTGTACTTACAAATCACAAAAGCTAGTCAAAGTGTTTTATGTAAATAGTGTAAAAATTAAATGGCATCAACTAAAAAAATGGAAGGATGTATAATATTTAGACAATCATAGGATATACAGCCATACAGGCAATAAAAAAGGACATTAATTGCATAGTTGCATGTTTTAAGAACAAATAATAGATACTTTTTCAGTTTTTTTTTTTTTTTTTTTTTTTTTTGGCTTAAGACATTTTTCTTAATAGAGTATTATTATATATTGTTCTCTTGTCCTTAAAAAAACATCAAACATCAAACAAATGCAAACCCACCTGAAAAATATAAAAGTTGTATGACTCGTTATCAATCAAAACAACCCAATTTTCATCATCATTCTTATTTTATTTTAAGAAAAATGGAAATTAAAAATCCAACTTTTCACTGAAATCCAACCTTTTGATTATCCCATAAAAATTCAACCTTTACCCTCTATCTTCATCTAAACATCCATTATCTGCTAGTGATCCGTTTTTGTAAGTTATATGCCACGTGTCAGTTTTTTATAGGTCTATTTTTTTTAATAATTAAAAAAACAAAAATAATTAATAGAAAAACAAAAAAATCAAAGTCCCCAGCCCCCCTTTTACTGCCTAAATGACCACCACTATGCCGCCGTCTCGATCGGAACAGCCCACCGCCTTCCCCGACAACCCAACCCACCATCACCACCGCCGTACTCGCCACAACCCACGAAATCCCAAAAAACCCACCACCTACAAATCCACAAAACCCACAAAATCCCCCACAAAACTGACGGAAATTGCACCTTTATCAACCACCGTCGTTTCGAATATCAGGCCACCACCATGTCAACCCACGAAACCTTAACATCCACTCAAAAAGCCCATCCGGCCATCCCCCACCACTAAAAACTCACCATAGCAAAACCCATCCCTCACCAAAAAAATCCACCAGCAGGAGGGGCTGCTGCGATGGTGGTTGTTGCGGGTTGCTTAGTTGCGAACAATGGGGAAGTGAGGAGGTTGTTGCTTTGCAGCGGCCGTGCAATAGGGTCGAGTATGTGGGGTTAGGGTTTCAGGTGGGGATTGGGTTCAGCTAAGGTGGGGGTGTGAGTGGGGGTTGCAGTTAGGGGAAGTGGTTGGAGGTGGTGGTTTCAGATTGGGGTGAAGGTGAGGTGGTGGTGGTGGTGGTTTGGTTTAATTTGGTAGGGTGGCAGTTGGTGGTGATGGTTGGGAGGTGGCTAGGTGGGAGGGGATGAACTTTTCTTAATTTTTACCAAAAAAAAAAAAAAAAATATTTTTAACCTGTCTAACAGGATGAACATAGGGGTAAAGGTTGTATTTTTAATTTCTATTTTTCCTTTAGTTTAATTATATATATATAGTGCAAATAGTTTATTAAATTTCTTAAATATGCAACCCACTTTGTCGATCTATCACAACAAACTTCTGACCCAAAGAAGTTATCCTTTTCTTTTCATACAAGTAGACAAAAAAGAAAAATACAAGATAGCTAGTAAAACAGATAAATTCCTACCGGTGCATTCAGTAACCTAATTATACAAATATAGATAGATAAACTAAACTTCAGTAGACATATGACATATACCTAGTGAAAATTACCGCAATATCAGTTCATGTAGAAAATAATCATCAAAAGTACTGAGGTTGAATCTATGCAAGGATTGGCGACTGTTACATTTCCTCTTTTGTTCCTTTTTTGAAACAGCCTCTTTAATCTCTACTATCACAACTCATCATCTCCTAAAATGGTACTAAGTGTGTTTTCCGACAATGTAAAAGAAGCCACTTTTAAAAGTATAAACTCCTCCAAATGCTTAATCTACTCTGTATCCCTATTCTGACAGTAGAACTGAGAAAATGTGCTGAAATGCATTAAGAGGGAAGAGACTAGTACTTGCCTGAATAACACTCATGAACAACCCACTCTGTGTCATAGCACCAGAACACGAGCAAGTCATTAAGATACCACCCTTTCTTGTCAATCTCATAGCTAACGCATTTAGATTCCTATACATTCCAGATGCATTGTGTAGAACCTGTAATATACAACAAACAATTTAACCAAAGAGGATGCAGTGATTGACACAATTCAAGATAAGATACATTCGTTTCCAAGGAAGACCTACTTAACGGCCAGAAATTCTAATGAGCACCATGACGAAAAGCAAAAAGAACTAACAACAAATTGTCTGACAAATTTTGCAATGGGCTAAAGATAAGACCATTCCTCACAGTATACAGCGCATGTTTTAGGTCCTCAACCAATTTCAGATTCACAAAGCTCAGCAAAGCGGTTCCTAAATGAATGGAAGCTGTTTAAATTTGCTATAGATTAGTATCAGTCACATATCTTCTTGATTACACATGTTATTCTATAAAATAAATGGAAGTTTCACCATGCAAGTAGTCTTCAATATCATTGACGCAAAGATGACATAGGAGTTAAAATTGGATCCCAAGAATGTCCTGGGAAGGGGAACATTTCTGTCAGTTCTTCCTTAGCTTTATTAATTCTCTACTCCACAGAGCTCTTGTCTAAATTTCTGTTAAGAAGGAATTTCTTTAACTCCAGAAATTTCCAATTCCTAAGTGTTAAGTGATCTAAAACACCACTTATGTGATTCTATTTACCCCTTAATTTAGTCCTCTTCTCGCTTCATTATCCCCTTGTAGGTTTTGTCTATTTTCCTAATCTCCTTCCTTTTCTTATTCTTTGGCAATAATCACATGATTTGGGCGTTTTATGCTAGTTCCACCTCTATCTTGCTCCCTTACCTTATTTGCTTACAATTGCGCATGAGTTCTTATCCTAGGATGCTCGAGGATGTCACTATCACGGCCCGGAAGTTTTTTTGCTTGGAGCCCGGAATGTGTTGGAGTAGAGGAAGAATTCAAGTTGGAGCAAAACATCGCTCCATCAAAGGAAGCGCGCACGTCATTCATGCACTTTTCAAGCAGCAAGGATCAGGAGAGAGGAGCGGCTACTCCACCCAGCCACTCCTCAGTAGCGTCCGCTCCACCTTATAGGAGCGGCCGTTCCCCACTGTCATAGGATTTCTGTAAACCCTTGGGAGCGTTTGCTCCGCAGGGTATTCTGTGCATTTTAATTGCCTTTTTAGGCGTAATTTGGTAGATTAGAGAAGGGGTATATCTATATACCTAATATTCATGTAATTAGCCTTTTAACTAGATTTTAGACCAAAAGTAGAGAGCTTAGCTTAGATTTCTAGAGAGAGAAAGTGTAGGAAGATTGAAAACTCCACTGTAGCATCTTTAATTCTTTAAGAAATTCAATTCAAGCATTTTGTTTAGTAATCTCTTCTTCTCTATTTTCTTTTCTTTTTTTTTTTTTTTTTTTGTTTTTTGTTTTTTGTTTTGTTCATCCTATTTTCATATGTTTTGCTTGATTTTCTTGTTTTGATTGCTTTGTTAATACTAGTTTGTGTTTCTCCTTTTGTTTATCATGTCTAGCTTTGTGTCGATTGTGATTAGTTCTTTCATGTCTTCCATGTCTTCTCTCCCCTTTCTAGGCTAGATTTTTAGCTCGGTGATGATTGATTTCAAATGAGAATGATTGATTATTAATTATCTACACCTTGTAATGTTTAAGAATTTTTTTCATGTCATTGGGGTTAATTTAGCGCTACTTAATCTCATCAATTGTGTTGTTCAAATTTAGTTGCACAAAAGTGAACTAGGATAGAATGTGATTGCCCAACATCTTTGCCTAATTAGTTGCAAGGGAGTGAGCTATTTAGCTAGAAATTGCATGTTTCATGTTTTCGTTGGTGTGATGATCATAATTATCATTGTTTACTATGCTTGGGTCCCCCATTTCCCCTAGCGCTTTTATATATCTAGAATCCATCATTATTTTTTATAGTTTGTTTGTGTTAGTTTGTGCTAGTTCGCTTTCAATCTCAATCCCAAAATTACCAAAAACATACACCCTTGTGACTCTTTTATCTTGTGATTTGATTGTTTTTCTTCCTGTTTCCCCGTCGAGATATAACCCTACTCATTTAATTTTTCCATTTACTCATGTAATTGGTAGTTAGGTAATTTGATTTGGTGTATTATCAATGACATATTCCTGCCCTAATCAACATAGAAAAACCTTATTACCTAATCTTATATTTTTATTCCTTATATAGAAACCCACAAAAAGCTTTTCTCCTCGTAGCAAGCACTATCGGTTAGACAAAATCCCATATGACAATGTCTCAAGTTTGTGGCCTACCTTCAGATATAATTAATATCTATAACAAGTTTGCAAATGTGGATGGTAGGCCCATGCAGGTTGAACATGCTGGTGACACAAAATACTTGTATACATCCTATTTTATTGGTGCAAGGAGAGGCCTAGGCAAGAAAATTATGTTGTTTAAAATATTCATTGGCGTAGTGCCTTTATGCTAAAACTTTGATGTATGGTTTGAAAGGATTGATAGCAGAGATCAAGCGACTGAAATTTGGAATCATGCAGCTAGGAAATCCCATCCTCAGACTTGTAGCATAATTAACATGGTGCTTTTATAGACTGTTCTGTAAAGATTTGAATTTGAATTTTGTTGCCCTTAGGTTGCGTTTATACTTAGTATAAATTATACTAATTAATCGGACAAATAAAAACTGGGTTCTTTATCTATATCTAAAACAAATGGGCAAGTAACAAATAAAGGGGTTGCTAACTTATTGGTCAAATGGAACAAAAACAGCCACTCGAAACAAAAGAAACTAAACTTATATCAAATCAGGTTCTCACACAAGTGTAAGTGAAACTTAAATTAGATGCCATAAATGAGGTGTATATAACACACAGCTAAATTCTTTTATATAGCAGTTAACGTCCTAGAAGTTTTACAAAACATTTTAATAGACCAGACTTCCCACACCAAGATTAAACACAATTAACAGTAATTTAAGGCTAGAGCTTGAGTATTTAATTGCTAATGATTTTCGGATTACAAACTAAGAGAGATAAGTAAAGCTTTAGCCTTTAGGCTATAAGTCTCATGGTAGCTTGAGGCTACTAATCACACAGGTGTTTCACTCAATTTCTGGATGGATTTCTTGTAACACATACTACACTACTTATACTCAAGATTTCTAATGGTCAAGGCTGACCTTAAGGAGATCATGTGACTACTTTGCTAATATAGAAAAACCATAAGCAAACATAATTGAAGCTGGTTGCTTTCTTTCCTAAACTCCTTAATTGGATTTGTCTTCTTGCATAGAAATGCTCCTTGGTTGCTACTCTTGCTGTTGACCTTGCTCATGTTGGTGCTGACCCTTGTTCTTCCCTTTTTCATGCCTCGAATACACCAACAAAGGTGTTTGACCCGGTTGACTCAAGCCACTAAACCAGTCCATCACATCTCTCCCCCCTTTGAGTTTCACCTTGTCCTCAAGGTGGAAGGATGGGAAACGCTGATCAACCGCTTTGAACTCTTCCCAAGCGGCCTCATAATCCGACAGTCCCATCCACTTAAGCAGCACCTCCAATTTTGAGGAACCCTTTAACCCTTGCATCTCACGTTCAGCAGCTCTTTGGTTTCCACCAATAACTCTAACTCTGGTGACAATTGCTCTGGAATTATTGGATTAACCGGAAGTTCACCCACGGCGCGCTTGAGTTGCGAAACATGGAAAACTGGATGAATCTTGGAAGATTGCGGCAGCAACAGCTTCTACGCCACCTTCCCGATTTTCTGAACCGCCTTGAAAGGCCCGTAAAAACGCGTTGCCAATTTTTCATACGGCCGTCTTGCTAGAGAACACGTCCTCCCAAACCGCCGTCAGCATCCGTAGTGGCTGTAGCAGTCCGAAGGGGTGCTGCTGCGCCACCTTACTCCTTTGACTGATCCCGCATCGCCTCACAACCATCTCTCTCATTCCCGGCCAATACCAGTCTGTGGCCACCCGGAGGTATGTTTTGACCTCACCATCATGCCCTCCCACCGGTGTACAGTGATATTCTTGAAGCAGAAGTGAAATGAATTTGGACCCTTTTAACAAAACAATGCGCCCCTTATACTTCAATATTTCTCCTTCAATTGCAAACCCATTGGGCCCTTCAGTGTTCAACTCCAAGGCTTGCATGACACTGTTGATCCACTTATCTTCCTTTTATTCTTTTTTAAGCTCTCCCCAATCCACTAAGTTAGTGTAACATGGACCCAAGGTGGGCTTCTTCGCCCCCCTTACGAGACAAGGCATCCGCAACCCGATTCAAAGCTCCGGGTCGATGTTGCACCTCAAAATCAAATCCCACTAGCTTTCTCATCCATCTTTGATATTCACTCCCAACTTCACGTTGTTGAGTGATATACCTTAGGCTTTGTTGATCGGTTCTTACAACAAAGTACCTTCCGAGTAAGTAATGCCGCCATTTTTCAATGGCTAAACATATTGCCATTAACTCCTTCTCGTAAATGGACTTAGCTTGGGCCCTCACACCCAAAAGCTTGTTATAAAAGGCAATGGGCCGACCCTCGTGCATTAACACGACCCAAGCCCGAACCCGAAACCGAAACCATCGGTTTCTAAGACAAACCCCTTGTGGAAGTCCGGCATCGCCAAAACGGGAGCCGGAGTCATGGCTTCCTTCAATTTTTGAAAAGCTCGTGAAGCTTCAACAGTCCACCCAAAGGAGTCCTTTAATTGGTTGTCAAGGGGCTTGCTATTTGTGCATATTAGGCCACAAACTTTCTATAATACCCCAGTGAGCCCAAGAAACCCCCTTAACTCTCTTAAATTCTTTGGGCTAGCCCAATTCAACACTGCCTCAATTTTCTCTTAAAACATTGAAACCCCATCCACCGAAATTACATGGCCTAGGTAGGCCACTTGCCTTCTACCAAACTCGCATTTCTTATAATTGGGATAAAGCTTGTGATCAGTGAGTTTCTTCAGCACTTGTTGTAAATGATGAACATGTTCATCCTCATCCATACTATACACGAGTATATCGTCAAAAAAGACGAGTACAAACTTGCGTAAATATGGCCTAAAGATATCATTCATCAAAGAT